ATCATTCAGCCAATCAGTTTGCGTAACATTCAACTAATCAGAATTCAGAGCATTCAGCCAATCAGAATGCATAACATTAAGGAAATCAGTTTGTGTAACATTCAGCCAATCACAATGCATATCAGTCAACCAATTAGAATGCATAGCATTCAGTCAATCAGAATGCATAGTATTCAGCCAATCAGTTTGTGTAACATTCAGCAAATCAGAATACATAACATTCAACCAAACAGTTTTATAACATTCAACCAATCAGATTGTGTAACATTCAGCCAATCAGAATGCATAGCATTCAGCCAATCAGTTTGCGTAACATTCAACTAATCAGAATTCAGAGCATTCAGCCAATCAGATTTTGTAACATTCAGCTAATCAGAATGCATAACATTCAGGAAATCAGTTTGTGTATCATTCAGCCAATCAGAATGCATATCATTCAGCCAATCAGTTTGCGTAACATTCAACCAATCAGAATTCAGAGCATTCAGCCAATCAGAATACATAGTATTCAGCCAATCAGAATGCATAGCATTTAGCCAATCAGAATACATAGCATTTAGCTAATCAGAATGAATAACATACAACTAATCAGTGTGTGTAACATTCAACCAGTCAGAACGCAGATCATTCCGTCAATCAGAATGCATAGCATTCAGCCAATCAGAATGTACAACGCTCCGTCAATCAGAATGCATATTATTCAGCCAATCAGAATGCATAACATTCCGTCAATCAGAATGCATATTATTCAGCCAATCAGAATGCAGAACATTCAGCCAATCAGAATGCATAACATTATGTCAATCAGCAAACATAGCACACAACAAATTAGAATGCGGAATGTTTAACATATTTAGAGCTGCATACTACCAAGTACAATAAATAGAATGATTGAACGAAAAAAAGGTAAGAATAACACTTGTTTACATTTATCTCATAATTTTGAAAAAAATATGCCCTTGTTTTTTGGTTTGGCTCTTGACTCATATTACTGAATTTTCGTTGGTTTCAACTTTACATTTTCGACTTCTTTTGCAACTTTGCTTGCTTTGGTACTTGGTATATATGTACATGTATCTTGGATGAACCTCTGAGATTTGTTCATCAAATCTCTAATTTCTATGTAGTCACCTCGAGTGGACCTTAGTTTAATATCTTCAGTTTTCTATTTTTAGTCCCCGTTCGGAAGCAGTCCGAAAACAGGGACTTATAGATTGACCTCTGTTTGTCTGTGTGTTCGGACCTATATCTGCCTGGACATGCCTACACCGATTACATTCATACTTCTTACATTCATAATACATGATATTATACATATGCACATCAATTTGTTTCATGTTTTGATTCAAGATGTACTGATTGATTTTTGTACTGACAAATCATCAAAATTAAGAATTTCTCAGCTGTTTACAGATGGATTTTGTTCAAACTTCGTATATACATTGGACATTTTTTTTTTTTTTTTTTTTTTTTTTTTTTTTTTTTTTTCCCTTCCTTTTTTTTTTTCCTTAAAATTTTTTTTTTTTATCCCCATATTTTCCCCAAAA